AGCCAAGACATGGCTAAGACCAGAACAAAGGTCTTGTGACTGCCTGGACTGTAGGTGGCATTAATCACAGACGACGTTTTTCTCTGTGTATCTCTGATAATGCTTTTCAGCTGTTAACCTCACTGTCTGCTTATCTAACGCTGTCCTCATACCTCTTCCTGAGGGGTCCTGTGCTGCTTATACTCATGATAGACAAAAAACTAAATAAACCCCAGGCATGAGATCGCCCAAGTTCATTACGGATCTCAGATCTGTGGAGGCAAAAGGCTCATGCAGTATCCCGGTGTGTTGCTTGGCCTCCCCAGACCGCTTAATTTTAAAGTGATCATTTAGCACTAACCTGGAAACACACGACAGCCTTCAAAATGAAAACAATCTGTTTAGGCAGGTGGGAAATGAAACCAGTCCTAATGGCCATAATGGTTTTCTCTGAAGGCCCCAGGCCTCATTCTGTCTCTGATAGCAATATAATCTTTTATAGCGTCTGTGAAGTTTCCTAATAAATAAGCGTTCCTTGGTCCTGGTGGTTGAAGATGCTGTACAGGTGCATCATGAAAGTGCACTGACAGACTGTTGGTTTTCAATTCAAGACCTCTTGTCAAGATCATTTTACAAGATATTTCAAAGGAGTACACAAGAAATAAAAAAGCCATGTAGCTGCAGCAGGGATTTGGTAATAGATTCCCTTGCTGTCTGGGAGCTGTTAGGGATACAAGTTGCATCAGTTTTCCCAAATTCTTTCAACCCCATAGTTAGCAATGCTTGCAAATGTGCCCTTAGTTTGGCAAGTGGGGAGGGAATGAAGGAAGGTAAGAAATATGAAGGACAGGGAAGGAGCAGTTGCTCCAGAGTATTTTCCGTAGCTCCAGTCATTCCTTACTTATCCTTTGTTGCTTCTCCAGAACTGGAAATGGAATTAAAATAAGGAAGAGAAGAGGGAGATGGATTCCTCACATGCCAAAAATGCAGAGAAATTCCCTTTCCCCCCTTTTGGTATTTTTACAAGTTCCTATTTCTAACTTCTCTATGGGGAAGAGAAACGGTACTTTCCCCAGTAGTACTTCCCTGGAGCTAACGGGACAGAGGGAGAAACAAAACAGGAGGGCAATGGAGGGAGTTGGAACACCTATTTGATTATTGAAAAGTTAAACTGCAGTGTCAGGTAGGAGACTTTTCCTGCATGTGGGATTGTCTTTTGGTGCTTTAAATCCTGACAGGTCCTACCTGGATCACCCACAGTTAGAGTTATCCTCACAATGTATTGCTCTTCTTCCCTGGTTTACAGATGGACAAAAAGATGTGGATATGTGCTGCACTATTACCCTCTCTTTATCAGTGATGGTTGTGGAGAGGTGTGTTATTCTATAATACAATCTGTACGGCAGATTCTCTCTCTGTAGGGTTTATTTCATTGCCTTGTTACACAGCTATCAATAATGTGTTCCTTCCCTTATATATTGTTGATGCTTGGAACACCCAGAAATCCTAAACTGGTTTTGTATTAGGAACATCTATAAATATCTGATCCCATGGGGCAACAGAACTGTAGCTGGCAGCAAGCATGAATAACCCCCAAAAAACATCTGAATGGAAATTTGAAAGTTGTGAATAATGCTGTTAAGTGAAGGGAAAAAAGTGATTTATCTGAAAGTATTTTGAGCAGATGCATCATTTGAGTAAAAAACCAATGTGCCTGAATTGGAAATGTCAGAACTTCAAAGAAACTGAGTCAGTAATGCAGAATGAAGTGATACATCTTGTAAAGGAAGGCAAGCAAAGCGCTTTCCCAAAGGCAATGGGAATACAAATTGTGTATACCTTAAAATAAACAGTGTGAAGTATAAACATGTGAAATAACGTAGAAACAAGAAGATAAGAATATATTTAATCTCTTAGCTTCATTTTCTTCACAAAGGACGCTGGCATTGCAGGAAGGACACACTTTTTCCTGCTTGATGGGTCCTGGAGGAGCCTTTGCCTGAGTAAAGGCAGTAGAGCAGCGTGAGCCCATATTCTCTTCACATGCAATTCAAGCTCACTTATGATTGATAGCAGGTTCTTTTATCTTTTTACCAGAAGTATAAATTTCTAATAATACTGCAAATCAGCTTAGACACTACAGCAAGAACTATCTACTTAAACAACAGGCATTCTGTTCATCTTAGAAACTGGGTATAAATGGTCTTTTGCTCATGGTACTATGAGCAGATAAGTGAAATGATGCTGTCTACTGAGCATTTCTGTTTGCTTGTGTTGCAGTATGACACACACAAGCCCCAAGGAGAAATAGCATGGGCTTGTCCTAGCATGAAGGGGACTGCAAGAGGTAGCACTGCTTTTAGGCTGCAGACACACTGTTTAACCTGTGTCATTCCTGCCAGCCATTAGTCAACCCTGCTCTTAAAGGCTTAAACTCCCCTTGCCAAAGCAGGGGACAAAGCTTGGCCATCACTGCCACTGGAAATACATAGCTAACATTGCACCAGGATGTTCTGATCATGTCCACCCAGAGCAAGCAGAGTGCTCCATCCTCTTCCTCACTGCAGCAGCTTTTGGGAGAGGGCAGTTACCATGGCCCCCCTCAGTTCTTCTTCTTAAACAACCCCAACTCAGTCTGTAATTAATGACAGTCCCTGCCCCAAGCAGCTTGGTAGTGGGCCTGATCAGCCTGATGTCATTACTTCACCATGACAATATTCTAACTAGCTCCATGTGATATTCCATCTGTCTGACACTATTAAAAACTTTTTATATAGCCCTTATAATTGTAGTTGCCGAGCTCCCCACAAACATCACAGTGAGGAAGGGAAGTGCTGTTATCCCCACTGAGGCACAGACAGACCATGACCTGCCAAGATCACACAGCAAGTCTTATCAGAGAATTAAATGAAGGTCTCTGAAGTCCTTGGCTAGCTCTAGCTGTACCGTATGTTAATGTGGCACATCAAGGATGCTCCTGGAGTAGCAAGCAGCTAGGGCAAGTATGAAATTGTATGTGAGGATTTTAGTATTTCTTAATAAAATCTTACTTTATTTTCAGTAAAGGTAAGATTATGGGCACAATGTCCCAGAAAAAACTAGTTAAGTAGCACATCTTTTTTGGTTCCTGTCCAAAGTAATTTAATAACGGCACAATTACACCTCGTTGTTAGTCAGACATAACTGAGAAGCCATTTAATCCTCATGTACGAAGGAGTCTGCAGTTAAATTCTGTTAAATTAAAGCTCTAGCATATGGGTAAGGAACCTAAAGCCAGCTAAGTGACCTTCAGTTTTGTTTACCAGAGCTTACTGCTGTGTGATTTGCTTTCTACTTTGTATTGAATGAGGGGTGTGTTAACGGGTGGCCCACCCAAGCATCTGAAAGCCCTACCTGGTCTTCTGCAAAGAGAAGCATTCTTGATTTAGCCTTAAAGCAATACAGACTGTCAGGAGCACATACAGTTTTAGCGCTGTGCTAATTCAGACTGGACTTTTTGCATCTACGTTGTATATTGAAGGTGCCAAAAGGGACTTTTACACATCCGAGTATAACCGTTCTGACTGTGAAAATACCAAGACAACATTAATTCTGCTAAATCTGCTTTTCCTCTTTGCACATGCAGCAACAAGAGCAGAGGAGAATCACCTTAGTTTTTTGCTTGAGACTTGTTTCACGTAGTCCCAGATTAACTCTTAAATCTTGGTTTATTTAAGTCACCGGGTATTTTCCTATAACTTGCACGGATTATATTGTAAAAATCTCTTCAAAGGTCAATTTAGAACCTTCTAAGCAAATAAACACGAAGTAAAGGAAAAGGCATTGGCACTGTTATCTAGCTGAGAGCTTAACAAAAGGTATGCTAGCTTAATTTGAGCCAGGAGAGCTGGATGGAGATTGCGTTTAACCAGAAATGCTGGCAAAAATATGCTTCAGTAGAGCCAGAATCACATGTGGCCATTCCACTTTAATTGTGCTTGTTTTAAAAGATAGGTCTTTAACATTTACCCTCTCCATGCTTGCTGTCTTTTTATGAACTGAAAATAAAAGCTCCCCAGGCAGTCGTACTAAGACCTCAAGCCTAACATTTTTCAGCTGAGTCAAATGCAAAACCTGCGCTCAATCTGCCCCATGCATTTTTTGTAGCCATAAGAAGATTGGACTGGTTTCCTTCCCGAGTCCCCAGGCCGGTCCTAACCCAGGGAGCCAGTGTTTTGATACTAAATGTGTCTCCTCAGTGAGGTCAAAGGCAGTGGCAGCAGTGCTACTGGTTCCAAGGCAGCCTGCTGTAATGTACTACAACACCCGAAAGTACGCTCAACAATAACAAAAGCATTAACCGCTGACCCACAACTTGGTGAAATTCAATCCCACCATTAGGCAAACATGAAAATGAGATCCCAGAGGAAGGAAGGTTCAGATGTTCAAGACCAGAGAAATTGGGTGAGGAACACAGGCGACGAGATGGGAAGTTGTTGCAGACTGAGGGGAGGGAAGGGGAGGTTGCCAGTTCAGCGGTAGGATCTTTTAATACCAGAAATTTCAACATGCATTTAGGCAGTGTTTTTGCTCCACTTTGGATCAAAGCAAGCTAAAACCATTTATAATAAAGATACTTTTCACTATTTTAGGGACATGTTTAATGCGATATTGTTTGATTTCCCAGGGGTTGCATAATGTTTCCAGATTTGTTTCCAGATTTGCTCTAAGTTAGATGCTTGTGTCAATGTGTAAGTGCTCACCACAAGGCTGGAGTGTTAGAGGAGCCTGAAAGAGCTAAGCACCCAAGTCTGACTCTGGTTTATCTTGTTTCAGGTGGGTTACAGATTTACACCACTGTCTCTAAGTATATTTCAGTGAGGGTCAGATGCACCCTAGAAAACACAAGTGATAAGTTCTGTGTCTCAATAATGAGTAATGGTCCATGTGCTGCAGCCATCATTGGTAGGAGGCTGGAGACGGGGCACTGGCAGGACTGCATGCTCTCTGTTGTTGTTACAGTGCCTTGCTTTTCTCCCCAGAACACACTCACTGCAGATGACCATTCTCCTGAAGACAGCTTCACCCTGAACCCTGAGGACAGAAGAGAATACCCCGATCTCCAGGCTGCCCACCGGCCATTCCCCAAGCAGCGCTTCAGGCAGGAGAACGGGCATACATCCTTGCAAAGAGATGGACCCAGATCTTTCCTCCTGGATCTCCCAAACTTCCCCGACCTGTCAAAAGCAGATATCAATGGGCAGAATCCAAACATTCAGGTACAAATTTATGTTAACGTGTGGGGTTTTTTATGAGCTGCACAAAATGTTTTACCGAACCGTGACAACTTTCAGCCTGGCTTCTACGATGTGCAGTCAGGACACCTTGTCTCTCTACCAGTAGCACCAAGAAAGAATGACTATAATATATACAATATATACACGTCTATAAAGTAGTTTTTGCCTTAACTGAATGCATAGATTTCATTTTTGGTTTTATTTTCTCTGTGGATAGTGTTGATTGTGTAAGTGTGAGCATCACTACAGACCCATTTATGATACTGAAGCCATCTTTGCTGTTGCCATTTTGGAACATATTATCTTTGTCGATATTAAATGGGCATTTTAAATTCTGTTTTCAATTCTCTCTTGCAAACGTTGTTTGCGAAGAGCATCTCTTTTGGCATGCTATTAGAAAACGCAACCATCCCCAAAGTTTATAAGACAGCAAGTCTTTAAGTTTCGCCTCAAAACGTGGTCCTCAGTATGGAACCAAGACTCAAATTTAATCTCTGCAGCAGCTGCCTGGAGTTAAGAAAAAAAAAGTTGACTGCAAGAAACTTTGTTATTCCTCAAACTGTTCTTGGGTTTGGAATGGCCTCTTACAAGCCACTTGCATCTTGAAACTTCAAGGATTAGCAAGAGGAAAAAATGAGTGATTTGTTTTTAATTCAGAGCCTTAAAGCAAAATTGGCATTAATAAGCAGTCTTTTTTAACCAAAACAATAACGTGAAATGTTGTTCTGCCTAAGATGTACTTATAAAAACAATACACTAACAGAACTGGTTTTCTGGTTAAATTAATTCCTGGCTTCGTATAGTTCCCCAGCCCACAAAATTACCATTCTTTTGATATGTCTAAGAAGTATGTACATAAAGATACAATAAATCTGTTGGTGAGAGAGCAACATGATCAGAGGGCTGGAGCACCTCTCCTGTGGAGACAGGCTGAGAGGGTTGGGATTATTCAGCTGGAAAAGAGAAGGCTCGGGGGAAATCTTGTAAGAGTCTTCCAATACCTAAAGGGGCTGACAAGAAATCTGGAGAGGGACTTTTTACAAGGGCCTGTAGTGACAGGACAAGGGAGAATGGCTTTAACCTGACAGAAGGAAGATTGAGATTAGACATTAGGAAGAAATTCTTCCCTGTGAGGGTGCTGAGGCGCTAGCACAGGTTGCCCATAGAAGCTGTGGCTGCCCCATCCCTGGCAGTGTTCAAGGCCAGGTTGGACGGGCTTGGATCAGCCTGGTCTAGTGGAAGGTATCCCTGCCTGTGGTAGGGGGTCAGAAATGGATGAACTTTAATGTCCCTTCCAGCTCAAACTGTTCTGTGATTCTGTGTTCAGGCGAGTGCAAGCTGTCTCCAGTGACCCTCCATTGCATCATAGATGGCTTACAATGTTAAGAAGTTGAACAGATTTGTATCAACGGCACGGCCAATATTTGATGGGCCAAGGTAGTAAACGTGCTCAACATGTGCTGACTGTGTACATCCCTCACACTAGGACAAGCCTTCCAGAAAGCCTTAGGAAAGGAAGGCAGGGAAGTATAGGGGCCCCAGATTGTGGCATGAGGTAAACAGTGTAACATCATTGTTTGAACAGTATGTAAACCACAGAGGAAGGCAAGGGGAAAAAACAACCTTCTCTGATTGGTAACAGCGTTTAATGTTTAGACCCAGGGAAGAGATAAATGGAAACATTTCTCTGGATTGTCTTTATAGGAAGTGCTTTCTGCTGTGACCTCTTTTTCCACCACCTGATCTTGGAACACATGTCAGCAGAGTTGCTGGACTCTGAGAACTGGGAAGCCTCGTCCTGTAAACTGGGAAGCATTGGGCAACATTAATCCCAGAGCTCTTGTGCACAAGATCAACTCGTTCTGAAACAGGCTCCCTAAGTTCTGCGTTATGTTTACTCTGCTTACTTATGTGCATTGAAAGGGATATGCAAAGCTGCTTTAAGCTCCTGGTTGACAGTCCTGGAGCAGGTCAGGCCTCGTGGAGATACAACTCCCATTAGTTCATTACGGAGTCAGTGAAAGTTTATTTCTTTTCCTAAAAGGTGGCTTACTCTGTTGGGAAACCCAGGATTACAGTGAATTCTTTCTCTTTAAACAGTACTGCACTGACCTGAATGGAAATAATGCCAGTTGTTGACTTGCACATTTCTCATCAGCTGTTTGGCAGGTGAGAGCCGAATCGATGCTCATTTTGCCTTTTGCACAATGGCTTCAGGCTCTGTAAATTACAACCCTGGTGTTGTTAATTTGAGAGTCCTCTTAAGACTGTGAGATTGGAAAGGAGAAAAAAGCCTGTGTGTGTTGATCTAGCACAATGGCCACATTTACTTCTCGAAGGCCCACGACTTCTTTTTGTTTCTACTAGTACAAACCTACGTAGACCAAAAATAACATTTTTTTAAGGGAAATTATACCTGGAAATTTTAAAAACCCTAGTAAACAGGCATGAACCACAGCCTGAAAAGCAGGTTGAAAAGATATTCCAATGGGCTCTCCTTATGCCCATTCCTTCTCTTGTTTTCCCATGAGATGGCAATTGCTGTATCATGCTCTGGTTGTGTGCTCTTTCAGGAAGTGGTAGATATCATAGAATCATAGAATAGTTAGGGTTGGAAAGGACCTTAAGATCATCTAGTTCCAGCCCCCCTGCCATGCACAGGGACACCTCACACTAAACCATCTCACCCAAGGCCTTGTCCAACCTGGTCTTGAACACTGCCAGGGATGGAGCATTCACAACCTCCCTGGGCAACCCATTCCAGTGCCTCACCACCCTAACAGGAAAGAATTTCCTCCTTATAGCCAATCTAAATATCAATCTATATCAGAACACCGTCACAGGAATTATGACAGTTAACATGCTCCCAGATAATACTGTATTTATCAGGTGACAATCAAATATAAGTACAGTGGACTGTCTTCTAGGGAAAACTTCAGAAACAACAGTTGGAGCTGCAGTAATCCAAATGCAATGTGACTTTTTGTGTGCAAGATCGGGACAACCCTTACTGGTCTAACTAAGGCATTCTAGCCTTGTAATATCACCCATCATTTCAAGTGGCATTTTATGCTTTAGCATAAATGGCCTTCTATGATGGGGCTACAGAACTGATGGACAGGGTAGAGCAGTTGATGTCATCTGCCTGGACTTGTGTAAAGCGTTCGACACTGTCCCACACGACATCCTTGTCTCTAAGTTGGAGAGACATCAATTTCATGGATGGACCACTCGGTGGATAAAGAACTGGCTGGACGGCCACACACAAAGAGTTGTGGTCAATGGCTCCATGTCCGGCTGGAGACCAGTAACGAGTGGTGTCCCTCAGGGATCGGTGTTGGGACCGGTCTTGTTCAACATCTTTGTCGCTGACATGGACAGTGGGATTGAGTGCGCCCTCAGCAAGTTTGCCGATGACACCAAGCTGTGTGGTTCGGTTGATACGCTGGAGGGAAGGAATGCCACCCAGAGGGACCTTGACACACTTGTGAGGTGGGCTGATGCCAACCTCATGAAGTTTAACCATGCCAAGTGCAAGGTCCTACACCTGGGTCGGAGCAATCCCAGGCACAGCTACAGGTTGGGCAGAGAAGAGATTCAGAGCAGCCCTGTGGAGAAGGACTTGGGGGGTGCTGGTGGATGAGAAAATGAACATGAGCCGGCTTTAGTGTGCACTCACAGCCCAGAAAGCAACCGTATCCTGGGCTGCATCAAAAGGAGCGTGACCAGCAGGTCGAAGGAGGTGATCCTGCCCCTCTACTCTGCTCTCCTGAGACCTCACCTGGAGCATTGTGTGCAGTTCTGGTGTCCTCAACATAAAAAGGACATGGAACTGTTGGAACAAATCCAGAGGAGGCCACAAGGATGATCAAGGGACTGGAGCACCTCTCGTATGAAGACAGGATGAGGAAGTTGGGGCTGTTCAGCCTGGAGAAGAGAAGGCTGCACGGAGACCTCATAGCAGCCTTCCAGTATCTGAAGGGGGCCTATAGGGATGCTGGGGAGGGACTCTTCATTAGGGACTGTAGTGACAGGACAAGGGGTAATGGGTTCAAACTTAAACGGGGGAAGTTTAGGTTGGATATAAGGAGGAAATTCTTTCCTGTTAGGGTGGTGAGGCACTGGAATGGGTTGCCCAGGGAGGTTGTGAATGCTCCATCCCTGGCAGCGTTCAAGACCAGGTTGGACAAGGCCTTGGGTGAGATGGTTCAGTGTGAGGTGTCCCTGCCCATGGCAGGGTGGTTGGAACTAGATGATCTTAAGGTCCTTTCCAACCTTAACGATTCTATGATTCTATGATTCTATGTAGTTCTTCCTGAAGCATGGTCTTCCAGTTGCTCAGGGCAATGTTTATGCCATTAAAGGGAATTCAGAAACATTGTCTCAGTAAACAGGATGAAGTACACTGAACTTTTCGTGCACTCCAACAGGCAGGGATATATTTATCTTCTGTATAGTTTTGGCCAGGAGAAACTTGGATGTTGGTGTCTCAAGACATCTGTGCTTGATCCATTTGTTTCGTTAGAAGGTGACTGCAAATCTGTTGTTCTAATGTACCTATGCCAATTGTTTTTAACCATTTTTAGAGGAACATCATAATCTGTAGCGCACACAGCCATAGAAGAAGTGACTTCATTTTAGGTTTGAATACTTCTGGAGATGACTGTGGATTTAGACCAGGACCATGTTACCACAGACATTTTTGGAAGCTTGAGAAAAAAAAAAGTAAATAATCTCTATAGTTTTGATAATCACTGGAGGAAAAAATCAGAGGAAAAGAAGTTTTTTAAACAATCTCCAAGATAGAAGTCCTAAACCAGATCTATTTCTTAATTTTTGAGAGAACATGTTTTTGTTGGAGTCGTTACACAGCGTGAAAGCTTTTCCAGAGCTGCTTTAAATGCCTGGTTTTAACTACTCTAGATCTGATTACTTTTTTCCTTTCTATAAACAACCCCCAGTGTGGAAACCGATCAAACAAGACACGTGTTTGTGTGTCAGGTACATGTACCATGTATGTGCAGTCATGGGCTAATGTTAAGTCTGTCTGTAAGGACTGGGATGAATCCAGCGAATACTGGATTTTCAGGATTTCAGGCTGGGATAGGGAGCAATAGCTCACCCGGAGCAGCCTCTTCTCTTCCCTCTGCCCTAACTTTGGCTCATACTATGGGGGGACTACAAGGCTTACTCACTGATTTCCTCCCTGCTTCTGGAAAGTCCATTGGACACAAATGGGGCTGAGTCCCTGAAACACACAGATTTACAGTCAACTGAAGCTGCCTTTGTTTTTCATCTCCAGGAGTGGCAGTTCAGGCAATCCCAAGTTTCTTTATAGAGTTTCCTTCACTCTGTGTTTTTTATGCTGCAATTTAAACGAATAACTCAGTAATCAAAGCTTAAAACAGCAGAGAGAGGAATATAGATGTGTGTCAGCATTGGATTTTGCTTTGGTTATGTTCAGTTTTTAAATGGGCAGCGTGTTGGGAAACTCACTTTAACGGCCTCTGCAATAAGCCTCTTTGGTAGTAAAAGCAGACTGAAGAGGGATATCTGATTGCACAGACACATCTTGAAAGTGAGTTAGTGGCAGTGCTGTTGGAGGTCTGGTGAGGTCTAACGGTGCTGGAAGCTTGTGTGTTACACCTGCCTCTCTTCCCCTGTGCAGCACAAAGCTCAGCAGGAGTGTCTCTGTCCCTACAAACCCTCTTTTGCTTAAACTGACCTGGCATCCTGAATAAGGATTTCAAATCAAATCCCTATGGTTTTTCAAACCATACCTGCCTGAAGCAAAGTGAGTTCACGCTGGTTGACTATCACATAACCACAGATTTCCAAAGCAAATGGAATGGTTATCAAGTGCCCCCCGCCGTTTTTATGAGGTTTTGTTTGCTTTGGGTTTTTTTGTTTGGGCTTGTGTTGCTTTTGGGTTTTTTCCACTCTGCTGAGTTATTGCTTACAGAGTTAATGTGGTCTTAAATATACTTGCTACTACAATACTGAAGTCCTACTAATTTTCACATGGGCAGTACTAAAGCCTTGCGACCGCTCAGTAACAGTTTCCTTTCACTTATTGTGAAAACCCTGTTTTCCTTGGATAGATGCAACACTTTTGAGTCCCTGAACAAACCCTCATGTCTTCAAACTTATGAAATCCATTTTAATTCTTGGTCTGTAGAAACTGAGGTTTAATGAAGTAATCATTCCAAGTCCATATTTAGCCTGGGAGTAAAATATCTTTTGTGTAAAGATGCTATTAGGCAGACAACTGCACTTTCCCTCGCTCTTGCTCTTTCTCCCAGTGGAGCTTCTTAGTAGCCTCAGAGTCATTTCATTTCAATGGCTTGGTCTATGGTCAAATGCAAAGCATGAAATAGATGCAAAATCCCCTCTCTCCAAAAAAGGATGTGTGGGCATTGTCTGTGCAGCTGTGTTGGCAGCTCCGAAGCCATGGCAGCAGTTCTGGGTTTTGTCTATATCACACTCCTCTGTGGTGCACAGGTAGCTGAAGAAACATGGACACTCTTTTCTTTCTTCTTTATGTGTGTGTCTTGTGATGTTGCTAATAATAACTGTATAAAATGAAACCTTTAATCCACAATGCAAATCCATAGAGCTGGGTAACTGTTTTTTAGTATAACAACATTATTCTGTTATTCCTGGTTTTAGACAACCCAATTTTCATGGGGTAATGTCCTGAAATACTGCTTTCTAAATCTGTAAACAATGAAGAATACATCTGTGCCTATATTAGACCTTATAGATCTCTCTGATAGTCAGTGCTGTATCATGGTTGTTTAGCCAGTCCATTGTAATCACTGAACCACATACATTAGCACGAAGCATCAGTGCACTTATGATTTCTCTCTGGCCACACAATGCTTGCATGACTCACAGAGCTGGAGTTTCTGATGCCTAGTTCCTATTTCTACCTAAATAGCCACCTATATGCACACGGTATTTATCCAAGAGTTCCATAATTACACATTGTTTGACACAGAGAAGGAGTAATCAAGGGGTATTCCTGTGCTCAATTATATTTACATTCATGTGTCTGTGAGAGAATTGGGCAGCAAGCCTTGAGTCTTGGCTCTGGGCTTCTATAGGAACTGTGAACAAGTTGTGTATCATTGTACACATAAGGAGGACCTACTTCAGAGGGCTTAGCAGTGACTTACTCAGCGATGGCTGGAAGAGCTGCTGGCTCTCATCACGGCAGCGTGTGGTCTCACATGCTGGGTGACAGCCCACCCGTGATGTGGTGGAAGCACTGGTGCCACAGGATGGGCCATGCAAGGGGCTGGGCTGAGCTGCTGCAAGGCAAGGCAGACCCTGCGCTCTGCATCTTCCACATCTGCACTTCTGGTCTTACTCAGCCCTATCTTGAGCCAGTCCAGGTCCTTGAAACGGGTTCTGCACACTGGTGTGCTTCATGCTTGCTTCAAAATGAGCCTCAACGTAACAAGAGTATCAGATTTAGGTTTCTTTTTCCTGGTCATGTATGTTTGGCTTTAAACATCTTTTCCCCTTAAGGCAGCAAATTCTCCTGCAAATCTTTTGGGCACAGCATGGGTTATTCTTTTGAGCAGGGTTTTTCCTAGCCTTTGTTCCAAGGTCTGATTCAGCAGAGGTAGCAGAAGGAATCATTCAGCCGCTGCATATCTCTGGGCTCAGTAACCCACATATGGTTTACAACATGTGAACCCTACAGGATAACACAGCCCTTTTGCAGGGCAACACCAGTCACTTGTCTTCACTGTATAGAAAGTTTCCCACTGACTAGGAGGAGACACTGACAGAAAGGCTGGTCTGTTTTGAATCCCATAGGTTACCATTGAAGTGGTGGATGGCCCTGACACCGAGACGGACAAGGATCTGCAGAAAGAGAGCAGCAAGCCTAGCTGGCCAGTCCCATCGCCTGAATGGAGAAACTGGTGGCAAAGGTCCTCCACCTTGACTCGCATGAGCAGCGGTGACCAGGACTACAAGTACGACAGCACTACTGAGGACAGCAACTTCCTAAACCCTCTCGGTGGGTGGGATAGTCATGCACCCAGTCACCGGACATTTGAGTCCAAGGAGCAGCCAGAGTATGGTAAGTTTGCATTCCAGGCCTCGTATGGGCATCTTGGGATTGTAAAAACGAGTTTGGGGGAAATGAGAATGGCGAGGCATCGCTGAGAGCGTGCCAAGCAAAACAGGGTTTTTCAGCATGTGGCTTTTGTTCATCAGCTTTTAAATACGAAGCTGTGCAGATGCACAGGCTGTACTGTGGTAGCTGCATTCCACTGGTAAGTCTATAATCTTGAAAATCATACCAGTTATCCCATAAAAGGACCTTTTTTTAGTCCTAAGTGTACTTTTTTTAAAAGCAAAGGAAACAAGGTTTCGCATTTATTTTTAGAGTAAGGAGAAGTACAAATTTAGAGTTGTGCGGTGGTCTGGGAGCCCAAATGTAATTATTGGATAAATGAGCGAGATCTAAGACATGGTAGTATTTGGTGGATACACAAATAAGATGAATTATGTTGGTGCATGCGTGGGGAGTGGCATATGCAGCAGGAACATTGTGTATTTGCGTGTGCAATTCTCTTCCAGATGTGTCATGGTGAAAACAATTGTTTTCAGCTTGTTGCGTGAAACAGCTGCGGAAACTAGAAACAGAGGGGAGCTACAGTCACTCACTGCCCCAGCGGGCTGTAACTGCCCGCATGGGAATGACTCAAGGGAGGTGAACTAATAGGTGCTCACAGGTAGCGCAGAGACTCTCATATTCAAGGTGTATGTAAATGTAAACCCAGATGTTGTTAGAGCAGGGCTTCGAAGCCACAGTACTTTTACCCTGGCAATTCTATGGCATTCCCTAAGTACTGCAGAGTGGCTCTCGTGCACTGCTTCAGTCTCGTTTTTCCCCTCTTTTGGTTATCTTGCAGTCCTAGAGCCTTAACAATTGAAAGAGACTTCTCATGGAATCGCGTGTTTAAACACATACATATGTATTACATTTTGTGGCCAGAAGATTAGAGTCTGTCCTTTCTTTCTGCACCTGCATTTATTTGTGGGCACACTTTATTGCCAAGAATTCATATATTAGGCAGGTAAAATAAAATTGCTTTTGCAAATAATTGTGGTAGAAAAACATTAATAAGCATTACAGCAGGGGGGTTGGAACTAGATGATCTTAAGGTCCTTTCCAACCCTAACTATTCTATGATTCTATGATTACAGATCTAAAAATGGGAAGAACAGGTTGTGCTCCAGCTGAAACCCTAATGTATATTTAACAGCAGATACTCTGTGTTTCACACTGCAGTATAAACACTAGGTAGGTAGGCCTAGAAATTGTCCCGGAGCTCTCTGCTGTACACCAGAGCACCCTACTGATCGGAGAAGACTCCTGGCCTTCGTGAACTAACCTAAAATGTCATGTGCCATTGGCCTTGGCCAGGAGGATCATAGAATCCTATGAACACAGAATGGTTTGGGTTGGAAAGGACCTTAAGGTCATCCAGTTCCAACCCCCTGCCATGGGCAGGGACACCTCACACTAGAGCAGGTTGCTCCAAGACTCATCCAGCCTGGCCTTGAACACTGCCAGGGATGGGGCATTCACAGCTTCCTTGGGCAGCCTGTGAGGCAGTGCCTCACCACCCTCATAGTGAAGAACTTCTTCCTTATATCTAACCTAAATCTTTCCTGTTTAAGTCTGAACCCATCACCCCTTCCTTGTCCTAGCAGCAGATCCTACCTGTATGAGGCTTTTATGCTAGTACCACCCATCGCTTCATGGCTCTGTTTCCCTTGTCCTCCCAGGATTTTGGGTCTTTGCGTACAAGCATTAACCATGCTCCCATCCACCATGGACACCTGATGCCAGTGTGGTGGCTTCCCGATTGGCAGCCATGTAAGAAAAGGAGGAAAAGCACACGAGGTCCCAGCCACGAGGAGCTCACATCTAGGCAGCTTGCTGCGAGTGAGATATATAACCTTGCCATACTCCTGGCAATAAATGTTTAATAGCACCCCACAGAGTTGTCATCAGTCATTACATATGGTACAAATCAAGTTACGTGTTCTACTAACCAGCTCAGGAAGCCCACAGACAGCATGGCAGTGAGGGGGGAGTGGGAATCACATGCAGCCCAGAGGCCAGTGCATGCAGGGGTCTGTCCCTGGCTCTTGCCTCTACATACAAATCCTGCTTATAGCAATAGAGCAGGGCTGGCTCAGAGTCACTAAGCCCAGTTTTGCTTTGCTGCCAGTGCTGCTTTAACCCCAGTGAGCAAAGGCTGCGACTTATGATCATAGGGTCAGCCCAGTATCTCCTGTAGGCTGCAGAGAAATCCATTAAGCCAGACATTCCCTAGCAAGAGATCATGCTCAAGCAGGGGAGGCCAGTGAGAAGGCAAGAACACTGTGTATGGTTCATGGAGTCCATTTGAGGGCCTTCACAAGGTGGGATGTGCAACGGGTAGCTCTGCAAACAAAGGTTCTAAGGTGTTTAGGTACTTACAGTGGCACTGAGTTATGGTGGTGCAGACTTGGTATGGTTTGCCCTTGGCTGTCTACCAGAAGAGAATAAAGTTATGCTTTGTTTTCAGAAGGTTCCTGCTAGTAAACAGTCAGATTTGATGTTATTTAATAATTCACATGAAACACTACAAATTGCATGCTGTTCTGGGTGCAAGATGCCTATGCAGTTCCCTATACTCACAGCAGTATTCCTGCAGTATCTGTTTCCTGTTCAAGGGACTGAAAAACAAATTGCTGTTTTCACACATACCCCTCTGCCTCCCATAGCCCAACATGCTTGTGTCCTAAAAACTAATTGAGTATTGTTGTGCTATTGCTGTGTGTTTTGAAAAGACAAAAAAGAAAACCTCATTTACCCTGTGCCTGATTAGTCTGTGGTCAGAAAACATATTCCTGTACACAGGGAAATGATGTGGATAGACGTGCACTGTTAGTTCATGACCCAGCTCCGCAGCTGAGGGTTCTCAGCTGCCAAAAGGTCAAAAGAGAAAGGAAATATTTTTTCAAATCATGTTGCATGCATTTCCCTGAGGAGCATCAAGTGTGAAAACCATTTAAATAGCAGGCTTACGCCTGGCATTTAGCCCAAGCTTCAGGTAGAGACATCTGGATTCCATTCTTGTTTTGCCTGCTTAATAAAAACCACTACACAGTAGTTTGGGGCAGTAGGAGTTTTGTTTCTTCATTTCCTTCCTCATCTTTGTTCTCACACAGATTACATGGACGGCAAGGGAGACTGGAGCCCGTGGTCCCTCTGCAGCGTCACCTGCGGCAGCGGCAACCAGAAGAGGACGAGGTCCTGTGGGTACGCCTGCACGGCCACCGAGTCACGGACCTGCGACCGGCCCAACTGCCCAGGTATGAGCATGGCCAGGGAGCTGCTGGCTCAGCTGTGATGTCCAGAGAGCCACTGGCTCGGATGTGATGTCCAGAGAGCCATTGGCCCAGCTGTGATTGTGTCCACTGAGCTGGGGAGTGGGGAGAGGCAGGCAAGGGGCAGGAGAGCCATTCTGTCCACAAAGCCATGGGGCCATTCATTCCCTGGCTAGGTAAGAGTCCCAGTGGGAAGAGCCACACTGGTTTTCAAGGCCATTCATTAAATGGCAGGTTCTTTGCTAGCAGTAATGCGCTGTTAGATCCAGTCCCCTGTCCCCTGGCACTTGAAAGACAAGTACAGGCTTTTCCGAGGCAGTCATCTCTGTGCACAGCACATTTGTATTCCAAGGGGTGAAATCTACTCTATGGAAACAAATTTGTATGAATTCTAGCATTTCAAAACAGCTGTGCTGTCACCTCAGTGAGCTCAGGTTTTGCTGTGCAACGGGTGGGCATGCCTGTCTTGTGACCAAAGAGCTCCCCCTCAGCTTTATGGCTTTTAAGTTTTGTGCCTAATATATACAGAGTTGCTTTAAGACTGCATGTGTATTAATGTGGAAAAAAAAACAACCACTTCAAATACCTGCTTTGCATTTCACTCCAGAGATTTTGGGTCCGTTGGGCATTAAGCTACAAGATTTCCTGTCCTGGAAAGTCATTGTTAAGGTGGAAATGTCACTTCTGTTTCCATACATAGTGCTTGATAATTGGAGAATTATAAACCAGCAGAGTTTGGTTCCACAACATCTGTGCACAATGGGATGAAGGAATGTGTAGTTTTGGCTTGACTGTATGCAGAAAATATGGCCAAGGAGCCTTAACTTAGCTCCGACCCATCTATAGGCATTGGCATTTAAATGCCAGTAACGGAGGCATCCTTACCATCACACAGTGGTGAAAGCAGGGCTGAGCACTCAAACCTACGTCATAAACATTTAAAGCTGCTATGGAAAACTTTCCTGTGATGTTCTTTAAATGCTGCTGCCTGTTAGGGTTTAGGCAAATGTGTAATGCAGTGATGCAGGAGTTGCCACAATGCATGGGATATGCGCGATTTTGTTACTTCCCGAGATGGGAGAGAAATAAAAACACATGCTGTGGTGGTATGCGTTTCACTGAGTTTACTTAATGACTCAGAAAGGCAGAAATACTTAAACTGGAGGTCAGGTTTTTTGATGGGAAGTGAAATGTCAGCAGTGCTGGAGAGAAGACACAGGATCCCCAGTGAGAACGATAGAAGTTTCCCACTCGCAGGTAGATGTGAGTTGCAATCGCATCCATTGCCAGGTAATGGCTGCTCAGCACTTCAGGAGATAAATGCTCCTGGATGCTCTCATGCATCCTAAACCTGCAATAATAAGGGGTTAATTCCAGAAGAGAGCATGTAGCCCCCAGTTATACTCTCCAGTGTTTATTACCAGCTAGCATGAAACAGTGGCAAACTTGAAAGGAGATATTATGTCATATAACAGACCTCCAACGATAAGCAGGCAAAATATGTTCACTCTTTGAGGCTGTGCTGACATTTTTGAAATTACAAGGGCAAAGCTCAGCTTCTGCTGTTTGTAGTTCCAGCAGTGAATTAATGCCTTGTAATGGGTTCTTGGGTATCTATTATTCTGCATCTACTGCTGGAGTTAAGGCAAAACCCGATGATAATTTTATTGAAGAGCAGCCTGAGGCTGTTTTGAAGCTTTGCAAGCCACTATTATACCCCAGTTCAAAAGATCAGGAGAAAGTTCATTGGCAAGAAGATGGATGCTGAACAGGCTCCATTATTAACCATATAGTTATCATATATTAAAGAGCTTTCTGCTCTCTTTGGAGGTCTTTAATTCAATGGAGAGGCAAAAAAAGAAACCCCAAACCTGTTCAAATGCTTCTTTGAAGAGACATTTGTTTTAAGGCTGCATGGCACAGAAATGAGGGAAGCATTGAGCTGGTAGGTAGGCCTACCCAAAGCAGCAATGAGAGGATGTTTACTTTGGCAAGACCAATTAATACATTTTCTGGCAAGACCTCTGTCTCTGTGCTGATAGCAAACTTAACTGGAGGCTGTTGGAAGATCCTGGTATTAAACTGCTGTAGGTGGTAGGAGATGGGATTGATTGGAGAGGTTATTTATCTCATGCCTACTCACACTTTTCAACTCCCCAGACTGGGAGAGACCAACAAGCACCAGTCTTCTTGTAGTAGCATCACTCTTCCTCCTACTTCATATATGGTTGGATGTGAACTTACCTGTCCTCAGGCATGTCTCTGTTTTAGAAGTAGCACAAAAGCTGTCTCTTTTCAGACACCACATTTTGCCCAAGATGTTAGAGCTGCCATTGGGGCACTTGTTTGTAACTTGTTGGGGCACTTGTTTGTAACTTGTGACCCATGTTCTCGAGAAGGTGCTGGTCACGTAAAGCTGACTAGGTGGCTTTTGGTAAAGCGTGTACAAAGCTCCAACTGGAATTACTGGGAGAGGCTGGCAAGCCTTGCATCAGGAAGAGGAGGACCAGTGTCAGTTCCCTCACTACTGCCCTTGCACTGTGTTCATAACTGACCACTTTGTTGCTTAAATATAATCTAAGCTCTGCAACTGGAAAACCTTTGACCTTTGGCCTAAGCTAATGCTTTATCCTCTGAACTTCATAGATTCCATGGCCATTATACTTTTAAACAAACACCTCTTTGAGCAGCAACCTCAGGTTACTGCCGTGCTGAACAAAAGCACCTTGAAGAACTGGGGAAGGAGGGGTGGCAGGGAAGCAGTTGATCTCATTGTGTTTTAATAGGAAAACACCATCACAGCTAACATGTGTTTGTCTTAGGGATTGAAGATACCTTCCGCACAGCTGCCACAGAAGTGAGCTTACTTGCAGGAAGTGAAGACTTCAATGCTACCAAGCTGTTTGAAGTTGGTAAGCAGCCTTGTCACTCTTCCAGTAGTAGATAAGAGACTTCCTTAGATTTTCCTGGATTGACTCTTGCAGTAGGACCAAGGTTTTGAGTTTACCATTGAAAATGTCAGTAGTAAAGGCCATTTATTATCTTGCTTAAGTTTACGACCTGAACCTTAGCTTGCTTCTGCCATAAAACCTGCCTCCTCTTCAGCCTTAGTAAATGTCTCTGCTTCTCTCATTATAAACTGGTGGTTCTCTGTCCTAGTTCAGAAAAAGGCTGTAAGGCTCCATGCTACTGGAGGAGGGGGGAAATCAAACACTGTGCTTTGAATTTTCAGCATTATGCTGAAATAGCGTCAAATGGAAGATAGTGTAAAAGCATTTTAGGTACAGCTGAGAAAAAACAAGTGACTTTTACAAGCGTGCACAGTTTTATAACTGTGTGCTCTGCAGTGGGGCTAGCCAGAGCAATTTTATAAGGCATAACTCAACACTGATCTATGTAAAACTCAGTTCAACATCTGTAACGTTCTGATTTCATGCCCCCAACGAAGCCGTAGTGTGGCCACTCTTTGACACTGGATGTGGGCTAACTGAATAAATAATGTAACCCAGCACCTCCCCTTCTATGGTGGTAGAGCACAATAGGACTCTTTAAGGAGATAAAAAAACAGGACACAGATCACTAAGTAAATATTTTGCAAAGATGTTTGCTGTAAGAGTTTGAGGTCCCAGCCTTTGCCTTACCCCAGAGTCCTGTTAAGTAAGTGTGGAGCAAGATGTGCAGGGAGTTTTAAAACCCGTAGCATGATACAGACACGCTGAATAATGCTTTGGGTAGGAGATGTTTAACTGGCTTCTCCCCAGACTCTTGTGAAATAATAAAGTGCCAGTATTAAATATGCTACTATAAATCTCTTTAATCCCAGGTGTAAGTCATGGCTCTGGTGACATTAAATCCTCCTAACGTAGATACTCCAATATTATGTCACATGTGCCCTTCTAGAATCTGAATCACTTTTGGCTGCATTGGCCAGCTGTCAGTCTCCACGTTTGAACTACAGTTACTTGAAATACCCCTTTGGGAAGGTTGAGACCAAACAGAAAAAGTATTTGTTAGTTAAAGGAAAAACCAAATTAGGGCTTAATAATGAGCTTCAGAAAAAGCAGTCCAGGCCTTGCTTGCCACCTTGGCATTTCTAGCGTCATGAGAAACTTCAACACGTGGATCTGCTGCTCTTACAAGGTGAGTGGTCTAGGGATTCAAACTGGAGACCAGCATCAAATCACCCTGACTCCCCTATTTCAGTTCTGTCACTTGTAAACCCCTAGTAGTTTGTAAACCCTCTTGTGCTGCATGGGGATGCTTGCAGCTTAATTAGAATCTGCCAGGTAGGAGGAAAGCTGAAGATTCTTCCTGGCACAGCGCTGCACTGTGATTCAGACTAGCACTGCCTGAGGCCCTAAAGGCAGTCACACATGTGATTTCTTCATCTGTCAAGACAGCACATTGCAGGGAGGCAAGCTCTGACTGCCCTTTCCTTCTTAAGTAAAGCACTGGTGCTGGGCAGTTATTTGTTATCACTGATCATACGAACTGGGATGTTGCATAATGTCTCTTAAGTTTCCATTTCCTGCCCTTAAACAGATACTGATAGCTGCGAAAGATGGATGAGCTGCAAAAGCGAGTTCTTGAAGAAATACATGCACAAAGTGGTCAATGATCTTCCCAGCTGCCCATGCTCCTACCCCAGAGAAGTTGCATACAGCACTGCTGAAATCTATGATCGACTGAAGAGGAAAAACTTCCGCTGGAAAGATGCGAGTGGTCCAAAGGAAAAACTGGAGATCTATAAACCCACTGCACGGTACTGCATCCGCTCCATGCTCTCTTTGGAAAGCACAACGCTTGCAGCACAGCACTGCTGCTACGATGATAATATGCAGCTGATTACCAGAGGGAAAGGGGCAGGCACACCGAACCTGATCAGCATTGAATTCTCCGCAGAACTCCATTACAAAGTGGACATTCTGCCTTGGATTATATGCAAAGGTGACTGGAGCCGATACAATGAAGCGCGGCCTCCAAACAATGGGCAGAAGTGCACAGAAAACCCTTCAGATGAAGACTACTACAAGCAATTTCAAGAAGCAAGGGAATACTGAGATGTTCCTCCTCTTGAGACACAAAATAGCATTCGTTTCCTGGATGCCAAAGAACTGATAACGGCTGCTGCATTGTCTCCTTGACAGGGGTTGATCAGTTTCTTTCTAATGAATGTATATAGTTGTAATATAATACATAAGTATTTTTCATAGTGTGTGTAATTTATAAACACATATCTCTCTATCTCACACACACCTATTTTTACATACAGACATACATAAAACTTGTCCTGGTAGGATTTTATACTGCAATAATGTTCATTTAACAATGTGCATTTCATTTTATTCCCCAACTGTAACAGAAGTGTGAGGTGGAGGCAAGGGGGGGCAGCTGCCATCACCGTCAGGCCCCAAGGCTCCAACTGAGGAGGGCACATAGTTAAAAGTTGTTATAAACAATAGGATTGAAGAATGCACTCTTCCATATGGGAACGGTTTACAAGATTAATACACCTGCAGCATCAGTTTTCTCTATAATTGACTTCATGACTAATCATATCTAAGAAAGGAAGACTATTTTTTTGGAAGGGTAATACTCAAAAGTGGCTATAGACAGTTACTAGCAATTTTGTCTTGGTTTTCTTCCTGTTATGGTCGAGCTCGGGTCTTTGCAGCCCACCTGGGATAGGCTTGCAGGGAGATGTAGCTGTGGTTTTCCTATGGACCAGAAAAGGTCTGATGCAGTGATTGTGCAAGAGTTACAGGTCAGATATGGAGCTACAGCCATCAGGGCTTATGTTCTACACTGTGAGCAGATCTTCAGGGCAGCTACCTGTAAACCGGGCATGCCATAGGTCACTGGAGGAGTGAGGCCAGAGGAGGAAACCATGTCAAAGGGAAATAAAAGGAAAAATCACAGTTGCTTCCCAATTTTCTGTAGGAAGAGTGTTGAGATCTGTTTGTTTCTTTCTTTTAAGAAAAGAAAGATCATTTTTTAAAAAGAAAACAAAAATCAGAATACACATTTCTAAGCTCCCTGAGATGAAGCGTGCATCCAGCCCTTTTCCCCCATCTACCACACACCAAGTGCACAGCGTTCTACAGAAGAAGCTGTTCTTTCAGGAAGCTGTGTGGGAGGAACTATTGGTGAGTCAAAATGTCTTAAGTTTTAAAAAGCTAGCATTATTTTTGTAAAGTATTTATTGAATTGTAACAATAACTCACATGCGGGATATGTGTCTGACATGAGAGGCTTCTGCAGATGGAACTCGATTGCCAAGAACAAAGCTGTTGTTAGGCAAAGGTTTTACTTCCAAATTTTGATAGAGTGCCAGTTTACGTACGTAATCCTGTAATTAAGCAGCTGATAACCTGCATTCTTATGAAAGATAAAACCTACCCCATGGGTAAATAAACACAGTTCCATCCTCCAAAAGGCTGTCTTGCTGCAAGTCCATGTCTTCATTTGGAAAATTAAGACTAAATGTTACTAGAGTAATGCCTATTTTTGGGTTACGTGGGCTGATGTATGTGTGGAACCTCACACAGTGGCAATGCAAATCTTGCATTGCCATCAGTCTTAGCTGAAAGATTGGCCATGAAAGACAATTTCTCCTGCTATGCACATACACCCATCTATTCCGTAGGGCTTTTCTCTAGCTCTGTGACCTTTCAGGTGCTGGTCAATTGCAGCTTCCTGGATAGATGTACATGTGCATGGCCCCCCCAGCATCAACGTGTGCATGGCAAGTCTGCTGTGCCTGGAAAGCATCAGGCTTGTGTTGGTTTGCCCAAGTGGTGAAAGAGGATTAAAAAGCAGCCTGGACACCCGCTCTGACCAGAGGGGTGGTGCACATGCGGCGGAGGCTCTTTTACAGGCCAGGTTTCCAGAGAGACAATGGTCCCAGCAAAGCCATTGAGCACCCACAACAGCGACCTACCGAGGTGACCGCAGCAGCTGGAAGTCTTGGCCAAGCCATTGGATCTCCCCAGATGTGGGCTGGAGTTGGAGGTGGGGGGAGTCGTGGATGTATTATAGCGCACACTGGTGGTAACAAAACATGGTTGGTTGAGCAAGAGGGTAAACATGGGGATTGCCCCGTCATTTTTATAAAACCCAGGTTTTGCAGATTCTTGCGAGGTCATGAGAAGGAGCCACCAGCTAGCAGAGCCAGGTAAATTGATTGCAGATGGATGAAAGGCATAAGCAGCTCCAGGATCAGTCCCTTCATAGGGAAGACAGGTATTTTCTGCATCATGGGGGAGAAAGCGCTGCTTTTTACTTCACTGAGCAGCATGGGGGGAACTAGAGGCTCAGGTTTCTCCAGTCACAGTTCTTCAGACGCAAAACACATCCCCGCAGTTTATGGATTAGTAAATTATGGTGCTACTGAGAAATGCTGCTGCATCAATAATACTGAGCATAACAAAGTGTCAGGGAAGAGAAATTATTCTAATAAAAGAAATGACGCACACAGCTTTAAGTGTTCCCACTCATAGCTTGCCAAGGCTAGCAGCTCGGAAGGAGCCTGAGGGCCGCTGGTGGGGACCTACCAGGTTTTCTGTAGGATGAGTCCTAGAGCACAGATTGAGAGAGTATTCATTCACACTTCTGCAGGCTTCAGCTACAGTCTGAATGGGAAACAGTCCTATTTTACAATAAATTATGATCCATTCAGGCCTGGGCTGCTTTTTGTTCTGTTTTCCTTTTCTCATTTCCAATGACTTGAATTGTACCTGGAATGACTTTGTGTAGGAGTCCTTAGCAAGGTGCTGGAGTTTACCGTGGCCAAATTTGGGTCAGTGTCTTAAATACAGAGCTCTTCATGTTAGAATAAGACCTGAGGAAGGGTTTGTGCTCTTACTTCGTGAGGCACAGGGCGGTTGTTAGAAGAAGCTGTTACATTTCGAAGTTACTATTGGATGACCCAACCAAAGATGTGAGTGGGATAGAAACAAGCAGAGCTAAACAGCACATGTGGTCTCAACACTGATAAATCCTCAAGAGTCCCCACTCCCATAGTCACCCTGCTCCCAAAATGGAACTTGAATTATAGACTACACACAACTGCTCCGTATCTGAACTATTGTGTTTACCAGTGTCTTATCAGCAAGGCCAGAGCAGGGTGTGCTCACCCCCCAGCCTCTCGTTCCTCTGCACTGCCTTTCTCTTGGGCAAGCACAGCTGTTTGTGCAGCAAGAGGAACCAGCCAAGTCATCCAAGTTATTTTTAACCCTGATCGATCAGCAGATACACATTACCTCACGGATTTAGTCGAGTTGGCAGGAATACCTAAAGCTGGCACTGCTGCTGAGAAAGATGTGCGGAGCGGTGCCCCGAGGCAGACACAAATGGATGGAGCACGTACCTTTGATGGTTAAAAGGATGAGTGGGTCTGGCTGCACAACGCCCAGCTGTGGAGCAGCAAAATTCCACTAACATATCCCACACTGAGGCATATGGGTTGTAGGACAATACAGCGAAAAGCAAAACCACACACACACATACTGACGAATCCCCACTGTCCTGCATTAGTTACCAGCTGCATTCCCCCCACTGTGCAGAGTAGTTAGTACTGTCAACATGCATTGCTTCAGAAAATGCCAGTGAGCTCACTGGCCTGCCTTTTCCATAGACAGCATCTCCACTGGGATTGTAGGGTGCGGTGATGATGCACCTGATGCTTCCACCTGAGTGGGGTCAGATGAGCTGAAGAGGGTGAAAAGCGACCTCTCTCAGTGGAAGTCTCTGCTGCTACCTGCAGGGGTAACGGGATGCATGTGAGCCACTCGGCAAGGGGATGCCCTGACAGAACACAGCAGTCCCTGATGCCAGCGTTTCCTACCTGTGGTGGTCTTCCTGGTCAGCAGCAGGAAGGCAGTGAGGGAGCACCTGCACTTGGTGGTGATGGTCCAGGGGATGCTTGAGGAGCTGCTGGTGCTCCCCCATGCCTCCCCTTGCTCCCCTTCCTGCTTTCGGCATCAAGGCACCAGCAGCCAGTGTGGCACCACAGCTTATGCTCAGCAGCAGTCAATGCATTCATCCGTCCTTGGAGACAATCATTCATGTTCAGGCTGGGCAGGCAGCACAGAAACCTGGTGAGAACCATCCCTAAGGCTGGTCAAGAAGCTGGCAGGGCAGTGAGTCTGCTCATAACCCTCCATCCAAAGTAACTGCAGGCTCCATGCAGTCACCCACCCTCGTGGGACAGTGGCATGGCAAGGTGCTCTCTTTATAACCCCGAAAAGGAAGCCTGCAAAACAGATATGGACAAGCTGGGGTCCGTTCATGCTCCCTGCGTGCACCTGCACAAGCATGGCCATGTCCCTCCCCTCCATACACACGCATCCTGGAGCACATGAGAGGGAGGGCAAAGACCAGACTAAAGATGACACTTCTTCCAGCAAACTGGTGTGGCTCTGTGTGGCTGCCTGGCATGTCTGTGACAGTGGAGCGAGCATGTGTTTTTCTATCATCACCAGTTCCCCCCCACCCCGGTCTTTTCCCTTTGTAGCTTTTAATGGAAAAATGTGTGGGCAGTTTCCATTATGCCTGCGCTGTTTCAGACAAATTAAGGGGTTGGCTAAGAAATCCCTGGTTTCATGTTTCATACAAAATACACACACATGCATATATTTATGTGTCTGTGTAAATTAATTTAGGATATCCTCTCGTCATGTGCTCCATGGCAGTAGGTTGTGGCGCGCGGTGCCTGCAGACACCCTGTGCAGAAGAGCACTTCCTTTCGACCAGCGCAGGGGGATGAGGGCACTTTTGCCCTTGCTGTGCTTCAGCTCTGCCGTTTACTTTGTGAGTGGCAGGTTTATTCGGTTTTCCTTTTCAGCTGCATTGCTAACGCCGCATTTCGCCTTTTATGACTGTGCTAATTTTCTATCAGTTCAGGGAGTTATAAATTTCTTCCTTGTTTGTGCTTTATCACAAGAAGGATCGGGGGGGGGGGGGTATTTGAAGCACACAGAGAAGCTTTTCATTCAGTAAAACGCACGATTTATAAGGGGTTCAGAATGTTATACTGGGGAGGTGATAGCAGTATGACACAGGTCAAAGCAGCCAAACCTAACAAAACCAAGTGTGGGTGGCTCTGGTTTTCGGAGGAGTGCTTAGATAATATTTCCTTTTAAAAACTGGGCAAACAACATTACATGTGTTAAATGTCAGAGTTTTTGCCGTTTATTACGGGCCTGACCGATGCTTCACATAAGAGCGGAAGGGTGCTTTGCTCCATGGGTTTGAGGAGGGCTCTGGTATGATTCCAGAACATGCCTGAAGCAAGGCACAGCATCTGCACACCATGGTGGCAGATGCAGGATGTGAGTCAGAAAGTTTGGGGAGCAGAGAAGGCTTGGGAACCAGCTCCCACCCCAAGCACCATCTCCAGGCTGGCTCCTGCCTCTGCACAGCTGTGCTTGACCTGCTTGTTTGTGCCCAAAGCCAAGCTGCAGCCATCCCCTTCCCCACTTCCCAGGGACAGCTCTTGAAGGGATATTGCTCAGCTGCAGAGAGCAGACTGGGTGCAGCCCTGTCCGGCTGAGATGGGCTCCTTGAATCAGGAAGGAGGATGGGAAAGGTGCAAAAGCGCAGACACAGGGACTCCTGTGCTCACTGTCCTCAGCAGCATTTACTACCAGTTACTATCAGTTTACAGGCAGTGGGGAGCACCTTCAAACCACAGCACAGCCTGGCTTCATATACCCACCAATGAAGCGTGAGTGTGAACCTCGAGCAACTTACCAGCACCGTCCTAGTCCCCGTAACCCATTTAGGAATGGACATTTAGGAGCGGAGATGAAGCCAGCACAACACCTCCATCTAAAACCAGCCACCACCAGCAGGCAAAAGCACAGCTTTGTTTCATGTGCAGATGTCCTGGTTATTCCAACAGATCCAGACATAGCAGTAAGTAGTGGCTTGGAAACCCAGCAAGGTCTGCCTCTGCACCAGTTCTCCTACACAACCCTCATCTTACAACCTGCCTGGGAAACACAAACAGCAAAAGGGTGTAGAAATAGGAGTTGTCTCACCAGGTTAAGAAAGAGGACACAGAAACAGGAATGGGAATGGCTTCTGACCGGTGTGAAAAGGAGACAGCAGTGCATTGGGTTACAAATTGGCCTCATTAAGGATCATCAGGGTTTATAACAGTGTGTGGGTAATGATAGTCTCAGAGAGGGGAAAGTCAGAAGGCACAAAGCAAGTCTTGAAAAGGAGCCTAGCAAAGGGAATGCTGAAGCAGTGCTTACATCCCCAGCAGGCTGAGGGCTTCCCTTGCCCTGCCGTATGCTCACAGACCCATTCCCAACTAGTGCATCACGTCTTTAATCACCATGAGGTACACAACACCAGGAAAGCCCAATGGAAGGGTACAGGGGGTAGGTGTAAGGGGAGGAAAAGTCACTGAGCCTCTTTTCCTGACCGACAGCCTACATGGGCTCGTGCTCGCAGTGGTAGCTCCACCACAGCTCTCAGCTGCCCGCAAGAGGCCGATGGCGGTGGTTAACCTTGACAAATAACTATGTTTTGCCCTTGCCCATAGTGGCACAGCAGTCAGTATTCCTGTAATTTAATGTGGCTTTAGCTCCAAAGGTCAACCCCCTCTGTCTCACACCCATATCAACCACCCAAGGCAGTGGGATTCCCTCTCCTCAAGCACCACCAGCTGCACAGGGGCAATGCCTTGGGTCACTTTGCAGGTCAAGACTCTTTCCCCATATGGAAAGGGGGACCTGGCCTCGTCTTCCTAGCACACAGACAGGAGGCACAAAGCCACGCACGGGCTGGAGGTGGGAGAGGAAGCTTGGCCCAACCTCAACCTCAAACACAACCGCATCTGTCATTGCTATGTTGGGTGGCCTGGTTACACACACAGCATTGTCCCTGCAGCCGCAGGGACTACCCTGCAGTCTTTGAGTCAGAAGGGAAGCAGCACCGTGCTCCGTGCCTGACCAGCACTGATGGGGAGCAGGAAGGTGGGAAGACCCAAGACATACATACTTCGAGACCCATGTACCTCAAAGCTGCACTTCGGCCCTGGGATGAAAACAGCACGCAGACAGCAGGGCATCACCCGCATTTAAGGGACACAGGGAAGTAGAGCTGAGCTTTGCCTTCTAAGTCATAGTCAGGAGGTATTTGTCCTGCATTAGAAAGGAGATGAGACCAGGTAACACTGGCTTTAGATCTGCAAGGCCAGGGAGTCACACAGGGCTACCTGGTGCATCTGACACCTCCAGGCTGGCAATTACAATGTGAGCTGCAAAAGCCTCTTTAACCAGAGCTTGAATAGAGAGCAGCAAACTTGATTGAAACAGAGGATTTTTTATCTCCAAAGAATATCCACCTGTTTCTCCCACAGGCTGCCTTCTGCAAACTTCCCCACCACTTCAGCACGTAGCTGCTCTCCAGCCTCTTCAAAGCCATGGCCCTCCAGGAAGGTTCATTGTCTGGCAGCCAAACAAAGGCAAAGGGCAGCATTATCACCCCACATACAGCTACCTGACATCCCCCACATCACTGCACCCCCAAAAATGCCAAAAGCTGCTGGGTCCTTCTTTGTACCAGCACCGTGTTCATGCAAAGCCCTGTGTCTGCTTTGCATGAACGTAGTCACACATGGCACGGACATCACTGCATTTTTGGGCTCTCAAGCCCGACAGCACAGCTCAGCCCCACTGGCAACGGCTGCTGCATGGCCCTGACTTATCCCAAGACACTTCTCATGCCAGGTTTTTCTTTTTCTTAATGGGAAGAGGCAAAACCAGACCTCCTGCATGAAGACAATTTGTCTCTTCTGGATGAGTTCCAGCGTGAGGAGGGTACTTTATACATATGGGCTCTCTTTCATGTTTGATTGCTGGACTGAGATCACAATTGTTGTCCAGCTCAAGGGGGAGGGGAAAAAAAAAAGCAAAAACCACACAAATCAGGAAAGCATTAGGTAAACTTAGCTAAGAATACATCTTCTGACCAAATGGAGAGCGATGCTCTCTCATATAATTAGACTGTCTGCAGGAAGTCAGAAAGAACACACTGTGATGCTTTCAGTGCTGTGGGAGTCATGCAGTCCCCAGGAGATGTCGTATCTCTTCCCCAAAGCACTGGGTTGGTGTCCCTGGATAGACTGCAAAGGAAGAGCATGGTTTTAAAACCCTTCAGAAGCTCTGTCATTGCATTCTGGCTCCAAAAGCCATCCCTCATTCAATGAAGAGCCGTGCATACATGAGGACAACATGTGAAAACAAACCCTGACTGATCAAAAAGTGTTTGAATACTGGCTCTAGACTTGCACAAGGTGAGCAGAATGCTGGTTTTGGTGGTAAAGGGCCAATGGCACAGCCAACACGAAAGCTGGTTAGATCAATGGGACTGTATTGAACAGTGGAGGAAAGATACTCTGCACCAACACATAATATCAAACAATAAATGATCCTGTTCTTCCTATAATGACTCCCCCCCTAATGTCTTTCTCCTCAATGGTAACAGCACAAATGGACATTGAAACAAGCAGGCACAACAATGGGCACATGGGCCTGACACACAGGTTTCTGCTCGATGCCACCTCTGGCAAGCACTGGGGATACAAACGGAGAGATCCTTCACCCTCCAAAGCCAATGGTGAGGCTCAAATCATCTTTCTCCTGGCCCGTTGTTTTGGGAATGGACTCTTTACCAAAAAGGAACAAGTCAACATTTTCCATTCTGTTCTCTTCCGAGACATTGAGCAAGAGCAACTTGTAAATTGCTTCCAGCCACTTCGAGACAACAAGGGAACAAACAACTATCAACAAGTATTACCCTCGTTGCTTCACACGAAAGCACTTATGAGACTGAAGGGATCCTGACAGGCAACTGGAAAGTATTTCTTTTTATGCTAAATTTATTATATTTAAGACCAATTTTCCATGATTTAAAATGTGCTATGTAATAAAGGGCTGGAATGCCTTCTTTTGTCATAGTATTTCACACCCAAGGCCTCAGAGCACTTTTCTGAATCAAACGCTGCAATAGTTTTGCAAATCAAATGTTTTAGGAAGCAAAGAACAGGGAGTAGAGGGCAATTTTCAGAGCTGTTGGTGGTCATAGAGGAGCCTATAACAAAACTGAAATAGCTTCCCAATATCTGGCCTCCCCGGTCCTGTGCCAGGACCACGGGCTCTTTCCCTCCTTGTGCTGATGCCTGCTGACAACCCACCACTTCCCTTCCTCTGGAACATGGGCTCCTCACCTGCACACCCATGCTGCACTGTGCCTTAGGAATGAAAGAAACCTGGAAAGAAAAGTGAGATGGTTTCATCAAGGGAGGAAAAAGCAGGAAATAGCCAATGAAACATTGCACATTTTGCATTGTTTCAGATTCTCCCCAGGAAGGGAAGAGCATCATCTCTCTTGGCACCATTGTGATCCGGACCATAGCTAACTGCGACCATTTGATGGTCCCAGTTCAATTTTCATGGACAAGTAGCCCCCCTGTAAAAGCCAGTTGTAACTGGTGCTGTTAGACAAAGAGCTCAAAGCCTGAGCAAACATAAAGGCTGCGCTGCTTCTTGGTGATCCCACACAAACACATATGGGTGAGGCTTTTTAGTACTTCCATGCAAGGGATCTTGCCTATGACCATAGGCAATGGTAATGCAAACTTCATTAGATTATTGGCACATAACTAAAAGGCTTCAGGGGACTATGAGCTGTTAGCTTAACTATACCCATATAGCAAAGCTCACATAACCCCCTCCTGAGAGCACTCTTCCACCATGGGCAGGATCTGCAGACAAAATAGGGAAGGAGCTGGGCCCTTTCCACTAATACAGCCTGTCTGTTGAGAGCATTATGTTAAAACCAGAACTGATTATCTGCTGATGCTTCTTAGTCAGCCCTTACACACCTTCAGGTGGGACAGGCAGCCGGACCACAACCACACCGGCATGGTCTGCAATGCTCTGCATATGCAGTAAGTTTTATGCCACAACACCAAAGCTCTCTAAGTCTGTCTCAGGAGTCTCAGCTGCTATAGATATTCAAGAGCTAATTTTCCTCACAGCCTTAAAGCATGAAAAATAGTGTTACCCTCATGATTTTTAGGGAACTGCTGCTGTCAAGGGAATTGACTTGGCCAAAGCCAGAAAGGAAGGGCTGCGCAAAACTGGGACCTGTGTATCATTTTTCCCATAGATTCCCATTCATTGTTTAAGGTGTAAGTGCTACTAGAAAGGGTCACTGGAATGTAAGTGGGTTTAATGCTGATATTTCACAGGATTTCAGCGATTATGCCTCATATCCACCATTACTTTAGACAGAAGCTGAGCAGGCACCAGGTTGTGTGAAGCAGAAGCCTGTGCCCATCTTTAACACTCTCCCCACCTCAAAGCAGCACACTTAGAAATCCTCCACACCCCCAAGAGCAGGACGCAGGGTGCACGCAGCCGGTGCAGGCAGCGCAGACGTCTGCTCTCAGCGGCTCTCAGGAATGCACCGCTCGTGGGACGGCTCGACGATGCATCGTCCTGCATCCAGGAGGGCTTTGTTCTCTGCGGGGTGAAACCTCAGCCTTCACTTTATTAAACGCAATTGCAGAAGCCAAAAGGATGAGTCACAAAGGCGGTTGTGTAAGCGCGCGTACGATGGAAGCACAGGGGACACGCGTTTCCTTCACGGAGGATGGCTTGGGTCTGGCAAAGCCTCTCTGATGGGCACAGTCCCCATCCATCACCTCCAACCCTATGCCAGCGAGGGCTCAGGCAGATGGGTTGTGCAGGTGTTGGCCACGGAGAACAAAGCAAAGAGTAGGTAAGGAGGAAATGGTGGGAACACACTGGTACACAGCCTCCCCTGCAACAGCAGTGATAAGGAAGGCTCTTTCCGTTGCTAGTCGGGATCTGGCCAAAAAGGAGGGAACTCAAGTCAAGTCCTGCCTATCTCTTCCTCAGAATCAGTGCTGTCTCTATCAGCTCCCACATCACTGCCCCGTCCCCAGCCCCTTCTAAAAGATAAATTAGGAAGGGAGGGCAAGAGGATGAGAACTGCCAAAGCTGCCGGCACAGGACACCTTCACCAGCGAGCAGATCACAAACAGCATTGACTACGGGATGCAAACACACTGAAACAAGGGCTGGAGCGTGTCCTGCCTCAAGCTGGGCAGCGTTTTCCTGATCTCCTCCCTGCTCAGCAGATGGCAAAGCCTCTGCCAGGACCAAACACCTGCCGGCCACAGGAGACACCGCAGGGCACGCAGGATGGGATCCTGCCTCTGTGCCCGGGGCCTGATCAGTGGGATTTTGCTTGGGAAAACAAGGCTGCCTGTGGAGCAGCACCGAGAGAGAGGAAAAGGGGGAGAAAACACCAGTGGGTGCTGCTGCTATGTCAGAAATGCCTCAACCTCAGAGAAAGACCGAAGGAAAACAAAAGCAATGGCTTAAAATCAGCTCCAGGCACAGTTGTGCCTTTACGCTGCCGTTGCTCACCAGTGTCCACCCCACAGCTGTGAGCTCCTTTGCTGGTGTAGGTAGACCCTTGGAAAAGGGACCGGGGGTCGGATCCACTTTGTTCTCCTCACCCAGACTGTCTCTTGCCCTCACCCCCTGCCTCCAGCCAGATGTGCTCCCTGCCTGCCTCCTGCTAGCCCTTGCATTCACCCTGGTGGTAATTCAGCAATTCAATTCAGGAAGCTGATCCAGCTGAAATCCTCAGCATGAAAGAAAAGAGGTTTCCAAGCAGAATATAAGCACTGCCTTTGAACACAGAGAATTCCTAATTTGTTATTAACAAAATAACATAGAAGTGACTGAAATATCTTCATTAAAATCTCCTTTTAAGCTGAAGAAAAAGTGCCATGAAAATACTGACTTTCTAACACCATAAATTGAGTGAAGAAGGGATGACGCCTTTACCAAAAGAGACATCAGACTGCATGGAATTTATCACTGGTTTACTCTTCTGAAATAAATCAGCTGGCAAAGTCATGACTTGACCTACTTAATTTGTTGTCCTGAAACTTGACGAGCATTGAAGATTTGTTCTCAGAGCCTGGAAAAGGAACGGGACAGGGGGAAATACAGGCACCATATCCAAACCCCTGCACTGAGATAGCATCTTCTTTTAGACACTACAAAAAGGCACCACAACAGCAGGCAGTGGCTGCAGTAGTGCCACTAATGAAAGGAAAATTGGGCTCCAGCAGCCTTTACAAGGAAGCCCAGCCCAGCCTTAAAGCAGATCAAGCACAGTGTTTCTAACAGGGATTTGTTCCATATATTGTGAGAAGTTCCTGCTGGTGGAGGTTTTGCTCCACACCTGAGCAAGCTACCTTCCTCAACATCAAGGTTTTGCATAAGCCTCCTTCCTCTCTGCTTCAGAAGTCTATGGCTAGCAGACATGGAGAGCAATGCCTTCCCTTTCTCCTCGCAGCCATCCTCAACGTAGCCAGAGCACCAAGCCCTTACTTCTTTCTCTCCTAGACTTGCACTTTCTCTCTTGCTCTCTTCTCACTTCCTCATTTCTTCTCATTTTCCATGAAATGTGATGCACTCTGTGAGGGCACACCTGTGTGCACACATTCTTGTCCCTCTACACCGCAGCTCCAACAATCTCCTGCACTTGTTTCAGTTTCAATGCATACTACAGAATACATAGGGAATACACTGCTTACCTCCCTAGTGCCAACCCACCCTTCCAAAAGCATTCTGTAACTCATCCAGAATCCACTTTTTCCTCTGTTATTTTTTATTATTTCCATAAACTATAGGCTGCCACATCCAAACCAAAACCCAGGCTGTACAACACTACACAGCTCCATTCAAAATCCAAAACCTACTTGCTCTTTCCCAGGTGAGACACTGAAAAAGCTCACATCGACACCACCAGCAGCACAGAACTGCGCAAAAGTGTGGCCCAAGGGCTCCAGAAAACCAAAGGCTTGGCAAGGATAGCTCAGTGCTTTAATTAAAAACCCTTGATAGGTTTAAGAGTGCTGGGGTGCTTTGTTGGGTCTTTTTCCTAGGGAGGAGAAATTGATTGTATCTACCTGGGTATATTTATAGCAGCTTAATCTCCTTTGAGAGTTCATATTTTCTCTGATTTGATAAGATTGTGGCCCTTTAATAAGTTGGAGCATTCAGATACTTATGACAATCTGGCACTCGAATTGTTTGCTTTAGCACTGCAGATTGCACAAGAGACATGAAAGGTTTCAGCGTAGCTGGAAAGTCACTTTTGATGAAATCACCCATCGCTCCAGGGGCCGCATTCTTTACAATTTGTGCATACTGATGCTGTGTGTCTTCAGATGCATTTTGGCAACCCTGTGCCATTTTCAGAAACCCATCTGGGACTCAGGAACAAAGCAAACGCACACGAACATGAGGAAGACAGAGCTGGCACAGCTACCGGATGGAATTTCTTTAAGGAAGCAAAGTCGCTTGTTCGTTTTGCTGGCAGAAAAAGATAGGAAAATGAGTGTTCCTGTTCTTGATGAACTTTGTGATATTGTTAAATCCTTCAGACAACATATAATTCATGGCAAAGCTGTGGCAGAATTCCTTTGCACTTATCCACAGTGTGGCTCTCCCCCAAAGCACAGATCTCTGCCTTCGCTTCATACACAAAAAAGTTGCCCAGATGAACAATAGCTCTAACTTTAGGGAAAAATCAGAACACTTGCCTCCAGTTTTTTGCTTCATCCCTGCCAAAATTCATTATGGCTCCATCAGCTACATACTTTCCTTCCACTGAAAGAAGAAAGGGCAAAAGCAGACTCCATGCTGTGGTACAGATCAGCAAGCGACTTGGGAGCAGAGCTTCCCAGGTAATGCCTTGAGCTTTGCCATGCAGACACCGAAAGGGGCAGCACGAATGATGCCCCTTCCTTGGCAATGCCTCTCAGTGCCAATGGCACCCAGCAGCATTCCCATAGCTGCGTAACAGCTCATCCCTGAGCCCAGAGCAGACTAAGGAGGTGGCACGTGCTTGAGCTCTGACCACCAAGGTCAGCTTAAATCTCCCTCATAGGTGCATGCGAACATCTGAGTTACACCAGCCGAGGATTTAGCCTGGGACTGCAAATCATAATTAATACCCATCCCAGCCTTCCATTCCTTATGGAAAGAGCAGTGAATCACTGCAGTGGAGGCTTGCAGAGGAAATCCTCAGCCACAACAAAAAGATTTCATGCTTTATCTCCCCCTCTCAAGTATTTTAGCAGACAGACGGAGGATTTTCCTCCCAGTGACAACAATAACTACGCTCATTGAAGAAAAATATGTGGAACAGGAAGACCTGCATTCCTTGTGTGAAAAATAAGACTGGTCTGTGCCAACTGCATTTTTCAGGAATAAGTCATCCACATGAAGAAATGGCTGCTGTGATAGTGGCAGGAGCAGCGAGGCCTATGGTAATGTGCTGTATAACTGACAGATGGGAAAAGTAGAGAGAGAAATGTGGCTTGGTCTTTGTTTCTTCCAAAGTTTCCATTATTAATATGCCTCTTTGACTCACATTTGAATGACTCATGTCTTCCCCGCTCCTTGCTCCTGCTGCTTTGTGTAGCAAATGCACCTTATTCCTAATGGCACCATTCCCAAAAGTTCAGTTATTTTGTGTTTAAGAGACCTCTTGAAATATATCCTGGGCTCTTCAGGGCAGGGACTTGGAAAGCTTCACCTGCAGTCACTTAGGCATGTGCTTAACTTCATGTGTAGGTCCCTACATTAATTCATAAGGCTTAAATGCAGTCTGGTAGTCCAGCAACGACACATCTATTGGATTAGGTTATTATTATTATCCATTATTATTATTTAATTCAAGGCCAGGTTGGACAGAGCATTGGGAGACTTGGTTTAGTGTGAGGTGTCCCTGCTCATGGCAGGGGGCTGGAACTGGATGATCTTAAGGTCCTTTCCAACCCAAACCATTCTATGATTCTATGATAAAAAGATAACTCAAAGAGGGAAAAAAAAGAGCTGGGAATATTGGCTAAGCTCTTCTAGAGAAGAAAAGAGTGACAAAGACACCAGCCTCATGTATGAGGTCAGGAAGCGCCCGCATTTTATCACATCAGGTAGCAAGAACACATTTCCCACTCTCTACCTGACCGCTATCATCTTCGGACACTTCTCAGTTGCAAATGTTCCAAACCTCCTGAAGTCTTCCCCAATGCAACCGCTTCTCCCCCATCCAGTGGTTTTGCTCGAGTCACCCACGGCCCAAGGGCATTGCCTCCTTTAAATATGGGTGCCGTGACTCTCTCGTCTCCATCGTGCGAGACCCGCAGGGCTAAATCATAGGCAGAATGAGAGACAGGAGTGCACAGAGTTCTGGGATGTGATTGAGGAGTGGCAGAACAGGCAGGCATTTGTGCACGGGGGTTAGGCACATCGTCCCGCTGTCAGCACTCTGCGGGGCTCACTGCCCCATGCTCGGAGGAGGGCAGCCAGCGCCAGGCGAACAGCAGAGGCTGAGCTGTGCCAGTCGCACAGCATAAAAACACTCAGCTCCCTTTCAGCCATTAAAATGAATGAAGAGCAAGACTGTTTGGATAAACACCAGCCAAAAGAAACCTTGGAGGCAGTTAGAAGGCTACTGCTTCATACAATATAGACCATGTTTCCAAATACAAATATTACACTTGGCAAAGGCGCTCCTTCGCTTCATGAGTTATGTTGCATTTTTTGTTATGTTTAAGTTTGTGCAA